TTAAAATATTTAAATTTTCAAATTTTCAAACTTTCAAATATTCGAATATTCAAATTTTCAAACGTTCAAACATTAAAATTTCGAAATTTTCAAGTTTCCAAACGTCCAAATCGGCAAATATTCAAATTTCTAAGCTTTCAAATCTTCAAATATTCAAATTGTCAAATATTCAGATATTAAAATTTCCAAATATTTTAATTTTCAAACATTCAAATCTATAAATATTCAAATTTTCCAATATTCAAAGAGTCAAGTCTTCAAATCTTCAAATTTTCACACAGGAGGTTAAAAATCAGGAATAAACAAACTAAAACACACTGGAATTCAACCAACTCCGCAAACCAATCTCACTTAACAGTTACAATTAACTCCATGACCTTCCATCTCTATACTCTCACAAAAATCAAATTTATCTCCATTCAAACCTCAAAAAAATCATCGTCGTACTAAATTCCATCATACCTCTCAAGAAACTTAGCCAACAAACCATAAACTAAACAAAAAAACAATCCTTCCTAACTGTAATAAACCTCAACACACCTTTCTGTCAGAATCTGATTTACCAGACACGAACATGCATACCGTATCACATGCAACATCCACAAGATCTAATCAATTCAAATAGAAACTGTTCTACCACAACGAACCACAGAAGAAGAATTAAATCTCTCTTCCGAACGAAAAAAAAAAAAAACAGGAATCACCATCGGTCACGTGTGATCCCTGGTCGATTTGCATTGCTCGAACGCCGCTGATATCTACCTGTTTCGTTAACTTTCTCCCAGGTAACCTTGTTCCCTCATTTTTTTCCCCAAAGCGCGATACCGTTCGTATCGGCGCGATTTAGCGCGGCTCGGTTGAACGAGTACGAAACGACGGTTCACCCTTCGCGAATCACGCGAGTATCAAGGTCATCGTCGTCGAAGATTTCATCGAAGAGAGGTCATCGATAGCCTTGCTCCGAGTGTCGTTAATTACTATTCCAACGGTTAGCTGTCTCTTCTACTTCTTCGTTTCTTCCTTCTTTCAATCGCAACGTCGCGGCGTATTAATGGCGGCTCGTTTAAAAGTGAAACTATCCGCGTTTCTGCGCGTTTAGACGCTTCTCGCGCGCGGCGCGGTCGGTGGTTACGGATCGAGAACGGGTTTGTCTTCTTTTAATTGTCGCGGCGGATGAAATATCGCGGAGGTTCGAAGGAACTCGGAACCAGACGTGAGAAAGATTTAAGAAGGAGAATTCTTTAATGGACCAAGTGCTTTTTAAAGTTTGTCCGGGTTGATATACGAGGTTTAAATGAACTGTGCTTCTTTTGGAAACCTGATGCGAGGGAGAATTTTTTAATTATTCGAGTAATTGTAGTATATTAACCCTTTCGCGACGGCGGAACTAGGCATCGGTACGCCACTAACGAACAGGTCGTAGTGCCATTAGTGCACACCATACACATTAAGAGTGTCTCGCGTTTTTTCAAATCTTAGAGGATTTCGTTGGAACAGCAGAGGACTTAAGGGTGTATCGGACAAAGGGAATGTTGTCTGTATTTTAAAATAAATCTTCACTTTGAGTTGTCGAGGCGCGAGCAAATGCGACGCGCTTACTGGATGCCGGATATAACCGGCGCTAGCCAGTGTGAAGCATTTAGTGGATGCGGGATATAACCGGCGTTAGCCAGTGTGAAGCATTTAGTGGATGCCGGATATAACCGGCGCTACCCGCGAAAGAGTTAAAAAGTGCAAAATGTATGAGAGACGTTGTTATTTTACTGATTGTACTATGGTATATCTATCTATAGATTAGTGTTGTTGCTTACGTGAATTAGGAAGTTCTGAAGTTACTAAAGCTTCGATAAGAATGTACTGTAATCATTTTCAAATTATTTTACTGGGTGTACTATGGTACATTTATCTATAGATTAGATAGATAAGTAATACAATAAAATGTAAATATAAAATAATAATGTAGATTAGATTAGGAGGTTCTAAAGCTACCAAAGCTTCTATAGAAATATACTATAAACATTTTAAAGTTCTCTTTGAACCACATTATGTGACAAAAAGACTGTCAATTTGTTCACTAACAATAGAATAACCTAAAGTCTAATTTAATAATCTAATAATCACATTAGATAATTCACCCTGTACAATGTTCTGCATTAAACACAATACTTCTCCACCGATCTACAATCTTTCCAATACCTCTTCTAAAAGAATAATCACTCTTCGATTAAAGAAGTGAGTTTCTCGTTAATTAAAAGAGCCAGCATTATTTACCACTGAACCCCATATTTTCCGTATTTTTACACACATCCACAGTCCAGCAATGCCCAATCAATTCGACGCGGAAGAATTTCCCAAGCGGTCGATAGAATGCGAAGAATTCACGAACGATACGCCTAACGGCAGAGCCCTATTCGATCGCGAGACACCATAGCAAAACTGGTTCGCAAAATCTGCCGTTTTTGCCAAGCAACACTGGTCCGGCTTTCCGTGTTTTCCGTGTATCGCCTGGGGACGGTTTGCCGCTTCCGGTCTTCTGATCGAATGAGGCCACTTGGTCAACAGGTCCGTTCCATCCGATTCTCTGGATCGCGAGTGAGAATCACATCGAACCGGTTGCCGCGTGCACGCTCCTTCCCCCTTTTGTATCTCGCGACAAAGACAGACGAAGAGGAAGAGAGAGAGAGGCGTGATCCTCGCGACGAGATTTTCACGCGATTCGAGGCTCTCGCGTGGAAAGGAGACGGAGAACGGTTGAACGACGTTGAAATCCATCGACACGGAGGAATCTAATGGGAGAAGAGGCTGTTATTATTCGAGATCGACTGGTTTTCCGTCTGTTCGAACGTTGTTAACGTTCTCGACGAGAGAAATTCGAAGGGAGAACGTGGAAATGAGTATTATCGATAGAGCAATTAACATAATTCCTCGCGGTGACACACTATTTTCTGCCGAGTCAAGGGGTGAAAAGTGGAGAAATCGCGTCGAGAGGAGGGAACATTTACGGCTCGATTGATTAATCGAGGTTGTATTTCACGAGACACGCGAGCAGCGATGTGATTAATTCTAGTTTTTACTTGGGCAATCCGGGATCAAAGACGGCTAGTTTGTCGTGGAGAGGTTCGTGTCAGGTTTCGAGTATTATTTCTAACGGAGAAGATAGCGAAGCGGAGTTACACGAGGTTATGTTGGTAATTTAGGTTTAGAGATAGAACTAATAGGAAGAAATGGGCAGACGTGGTTTCTGTTTCTTTTTTTTTCGCTTTTATTGTGAGCTGTGGCTGGCGACCTCATTTCCCCGCGGCTTCCGGCTCGGGAAAATTGACGACGAGCCGCAGAAATGCGGAAAAACTGGCGACCATTCCGGGGTCAGATATTTATGGAACGTTGTAGGTACTGCAAGACCGCTTTCGAGCGATTTTCCACACGTATGAAGGAGCTTTCCATGCCTAATGAAACGATAACAGTGTACACACGTGTAGAAATTGTGTTTGAACTTTTACTTTGGATATTTGAATTGTAATTGAACTTTGAATTAGCATTGAAACGTAATTGAAGATTTTCGGAATTATAATTGAAGTTTGAATCATCGTTGGAACGTAATTGAACATGTTTTCAATTAAAATTGAACTCTGAATCATTATTGAAATTTAATTGAACACCTTTGAGCGATAATTGCACTTTTTCTTGATATATTTCAATTGTATTTGACCTTTGAACGAACATTTTTCAACTATATTTGATCTCTGAATTATCATTGAAACGTAATTGACCATTTTCGAATTATAATTGAACATTGAATCGTCGCTGAAACGTGATTGAACACTTTCGAATGATAATTCAACTTCTTCTCGAGATGTTTGAATTATAATTGAGCTCTGAATCATCGCTGAAACATAATTGAACACTTTCGAATTCTAATCAAACTTTCAACTATCATCGATGCATGATTGAACATTTTTTTTTTATCTATAATTGAAATTTGAATCATCATTGAAGCTTAATTAAATATTTCCCAAGCTACGTGTGAACTTTGAATTACCATTCAAACGTAATTGAAAGCTTTTCGAATTATAATTGAAATTTGAATCGTCGTTGAAATGCAATTGATCGTTTTTCGAATTGAAATTCAACTTCTGAATACCTGTCAATCATAATTGAAATACAGTAGAAACTTTCCACTAAAAAAATTCATGGAACAGGAAACAAAAGTTACCAGTGTCATCCTAAAGAAACGAAATTGATCAGAAACGAATGGAAAATGAAATCAGGTCGAGGAATTTCATCGTGTCATCTGTTATTCTCTTCTCGCCATACCTATTCCACTGAAAATTCCAATCGACAATGCCGCTTCACCCCAGATTTTTATTTTCCATTCCCGGCGATCCAGTTTCCCCGGAATTTCCGTTTTGTCAGTTCATGTAATTAACCAACGATCGGAACGACCGTGGCAAGTAGAGGAACGAAAGCTTCGTTCCTATCGTCGATGTTACTGAAATCACGAGAAAGTGGTTTCCGGATGTTTTCTCGTTCTGCTTTTGTATTAGATAACGTTACGTTACACGACTAAACGAGTTGTGGTCATTAGAATACATAACGTAGACAGTTCCGTTTATTAACGCTAATACTTGACAATATTTAAACGATCCGTATAATAAATAATAGCAAACACGTGACGGTAATAATTCTAAAAATATCTACATAAATAATATATACACTACTTAATAATACGTGCAATTAAAATTTCCGTAGCCTATTGTACCCAGAAATTTGAACAGCCTGTTCAAAAATGGCATCGTTGCACAGCGTGATTTTCCAATGGAAAAGAGAGCTTGCATCGTAAAGGTACAAATAATCCTCTAAAAATGAAAACGACCCTTAAAATATACGACGTAATTGGTCATTCTCACTTCTAAGGGTTGCAAAGATAAAAAATTATAATACTATGAAATTCTTCTACGAAGAAAGAGAGCGAACGGAATTTCCTTCGAAATTTGGGGCTTCTACGACTGGTAATCTTGATAGCCTCGATAAGCAAGGTCCTGTCCATAGGACACAGTGTCCCTGTGGTATCCACCTTGATACTCAGATCCATGGTGAACCTCTGGCTCACCATAGGGATAATTATTCGAATTATCTTTGTAATATGGATAAGCTATACCGCTTTGACTGTACGCGGGATGCTGATAACTTTGCGTGAGCGGTTTGTAGAGCTTGAAGAAGCCAATTAGACCTGGGATTACGATCGCTAGGAAGCCGAGGAACTTCTTGAAGGACGCCAGGCCTAAAATAAGCGGCAGGAACAGGAGTAGTTTCAATTTGAACAGCTTCAGAACGATGAGCATTGGGATGAGAAGTTTCTTCAGTTGGTGACGAGCTGTTGGAAGAGAACGAAGAATCGGTGATGCTTTGAAAGTGGAAGAAGATGTAATTTTTCGGAGAGAATTGTATTTACAGAAGAGAGTGTCCTTTTTGTTTTCTAGAGTGTCGATTTCGTCGGCGATTTCGTCTAAAAATCGAGGTGCGTAAACTTCGTTTTCTCCAGTTTGGTCCGATGGAATGTGTAGTTCAATGGCTACGGATTTTACAAACTTTTCTGCCTTTCTGAGAGCGAATTTCATCAGTTGGTCCCATTCGGAGTCGCTGGATCTGAAGTAATGGAGGAATTAATTTTTGGAAAATTGTGTATTGTCGGTGAAGGGTGAGTTTTTAGTTGGTTTAGGATGAATTGTACCTTGCTTCGCCGGAGTATTCGTACGGCTGACGATTCACTTCCTGCACCACGTCCCTGGACATCCTAACGACCTTCACGTAATCGTTCAGGTCGTAGTGAGAGTGGTCGAAGAAGTCGGAGAAGTAACTCAAAGCCTGTGATTTGAAACATTCTGCTAGATCGCCGGTCAGGCAGCCCTGATTCGTCTTTGCCATGTAGGGGTCCACGTTTCGACCTGTACCTAAGCCTATCCAGTCGAAAAGTCCCTTTCCTTGACGTGTCTTGTTGAAAGGCAGCGGACCTTCTGGCTCTGGTACATGGTTTTCTGGAATGATTATTTTGTGAAATTCTGCTGCTCCTAAGTTTCAAATTTTCAAATACTCGAGTTTTCAAATTTGTAAATTTTCAAGCGTCCAAATCTTCAAATCTTCAAATTTTCAAACGTCAAGTCTCCAAATATTCGAGTTTTCAAATTTGTAAATTTTCAAGCGTCCAAATCGTCAAATATTCAAATTTTCAAGCGTCCAAATCGTCAAATATTCAAATTTTCAAGCGTCCAAATCTTCAAATCTTCAAATTTTCAAACGTCAAGTCTCCAAATATTCGAACTTTCAAATATTGAAATTTTCAAGCGTCGAAATCTTCAAATATTGAAATTTTCAAGCGTTCAAGTCTTCAAATCCTCGAATTTTCAAGCGTTCAAATCTCCAAATATTCGAATTTTCAAATATTAAAATTTTCAAGCGTCCAAATCTTCAAATCTTCTATTCTGATTTAATTTTGCTTAATTTGAAAAGGATGAGAAGAATTGGACAATGTTTAGAGTGGTAAAGTGAAGCGTAATTCAAATTTTGTTGGAAGGTAAACTTTAAATTTGAATTGTTGAATTGTTGAATTTTCAAATCTTCAAATTTGCAAATCTTCAAATCTTCAAATCTTCGAATTTTCAAATTTATAAATTTTCAAGGGTCAAAAGTTTAAAAGTTTCAAATTTTTAAGCATCCAAATACAGAAATTTTCAGAATATCAATCCCTCAAATACCAAAACACCCAAACCTTCAACAAAAAAAATTCGACAAATCTTACCGCGTCCTTCGGGTCGTTCGCCGGAAGTGCCATCCTCGAAGGTAACCGAGAAACAGGGTACCAACAGCACCGAGAACAGCACCAGACCGTATGTTACCAGCAACTGCACTGGTCGCATGCTGCTCACCTGAACGTTGCACCTGCAGTCACGTTTCTTTATCGACACTAGTTTCACACATACCACTTGTTAAACAATATCCATCGAAACATCCTTTACGCAAAATAAATAAAACAGCAAATCTACTAAACGAATAAAACCAATCATCGACAGATCCTACGGTAGCATTCACTTGCTGTCAAAACAGCTGTGCCTTTCACAGCTCAGAAACAATAAAAAAGACACTATAAATAATTGAAAAGAAAAAATCAACTTCCGACGCTTACCAAACTCCATCAACTGACCGGTTTCCGGAACGACATCGTTTCGCCTCGATTTAGGAGAAAAAATGACTCTGATCGTGATTCACGAACCGCACTCGAGTGTCTGAAGAGACCAACTTCGATCGTAACCGCGCGGTAGATCCAATGTTCCGTTAGCTCGACGGACCAATCGGGTCTCCCGGTTCAAAGTAACCGGGTCCGTAACCTTGTATATTCCGGTCGCGCCTCCATACCATTCGTTATGCTCATCACGCACTCTCCTTAATAGCTGTACGCCGAATTTTCCAAATTTCCAATCCAATTAAAGCCTTCTGTCCTTATAATTCTAATTTAAATAACCTTCCAAACTGTCTCTATCGTGCAATTAATTTTATGACGAATAATGTCATTTCTAATTACTCAAAATTAATTTTCAATAAATTTTAATTTCTGATGGATATAAAAATTTCGTAGATTTAAAATTTTCAATCACCTTAAATTTCCGGTGTATATAAAAATTTCGTAGATTTTAAATTTTCAATAAATTTAAATTTCTGACGCATCCAAAAATTTTGTAGATTAAAAATTTTCAAAAATTGATTGCCCAATATCAAGGCAAATTCTAGTTTAACGGAATCACTCCAAGATAATTTAACCAGCAACGAACCGCTAAGAAAGTGTTACCACTCGTTAAAGTCTCCTCGCTACACGCAATATTAATGTCTGCCGACCGATCAACGTTACTCTCGAATGGAATAGATCATTCAGCCTACCATTCAATTACCAACACATTACCAATTTAAATATCCTATCAATCTTACCAAGAATGATCTACCAACAACCACAATGCATCAACCTTAACACTGAAATCGCGCTAAGAAAAATTTCAGCTCTTACGATTTTTAACCGAGACTGTAAAATCGCGAGATATTCTCACCTTTCTAGAAACGAAGCGGATAGAATCCGATGTTCTCGCGATCCCGATCGAAATCACGGACAATCACCCCGCAGGATGAACTTAGAGCAATGCTACGCATCCGCTCGCGTTCGCCCGTTTCATTTATACGAACGAACAGAGTCGTTCGCACAGAGAGGAGAGAGGAGAGGGCAAGATCTGTGGGTTGACGCGGGAGCAGAGGGAAAAAAAGATGCTTAAAAATTGAAAGTGAAAGTAGCCCCCGGATATAGGACCGGAACTGGCCAGTTTTGAACAAAGAGGGACGAACATGAAACAGAGTCGTCGGACTTTCCTTCGTAATCCATGACCGTGCGTCATCGTGCTGCTCCTTTCGTTTTCTCTCGTGTCCAATGCTCAAATACACTCCCGTATGTATGTATATGTGCTTCTAACACGATACAGAAGGTCAGTGTAGCATCTTGTGTAATATGAAATGTGGAATTTTTCAAGGAGGAATGAAACTTAATTTCTTCACCCTTTGAGCAGTCGTACAAAAGTTCCTCTCAATCTAGTGTCCATTAGAGACAATGGATAAATAGCAAATTGTTGAGAAAAATACTTCAGTCGTGAAAGGGTTAAATTCAAAGAAAAATTGCGAAAGAAACTTGAGTTACCCTTTGAGTAGTCGAACAAAATTCCTCTCAATTTAGTGTCCATTGGAGACATTAGACAAATAAGAAATTCTCAAGGAAAAGAATTCAGTCACGAAAGGGTTAAATTCGAAGATACATTGTGCAACTTACTACGAGTTATACGAATTTAAGTTAAAACGAAAAACCTCAGAATTTTGCAAATCTTAATTTGTGAATGATTAAAAATTCGACATTTCATACTACACTTCTCGAGTACATCTCTTCTAAAGTTTCCAAGAAACTGGACTGTAATTCTTCGATTATCGGTTCCAAGTGACGAAACGTTCCCAGCGTCTTCCTTATGGTTGCATAATAATACTATAGCGTGTAGTAGCGCATTCACAGCGTTTTATTGGCGCACTGTACAAGAAGAACTGGCGTCGACCCGCGCTAGGCCGACACTCTGACCCTGATCGAATAAATAAATATCGTAATTGATACGGGAACGTTCACCTCGCGTGAGATTGATTAATAAATTAACAGGCCACGATGGCTACTGTAATAAATAAATAACTAACGAACGCGGAACACGAGGCGACGCCATTGCTGTGTTAAAAGAAGGATCTGAAGAGGCGTCGCTGTCCCGAGCTCCGTGTCGTACGATCATTCGCTACGTTATTGGAATTAAATCACTAAATCGCGAATTGTTGCATTTCGTTCCATGGAAAATCGAAGCGTCGATAACGTCACGACGCGACCATTTTCCATTCTGACTCGATTAAATTTAGAATAACCCATAAATCGCTTTACCATTTAAAAATTCAATAACATTTCCTCCATTCTAGCTTATAAATTTATTTCAAATTTTAAAAAATACTCACTTAATTCTGAAATGATAAAGCGACTTATAGGCCAGCCAGTGTACTCAAGTCGTAAAGAATTACGTTGTAATTCGAAGTATAGGATTCCACGTGAAAACGCCCATAAATATTGATCCACGGTAAATTATGCGTGGTTCCAGTCGCGTATGCTCATTTATCGGACCTACTTTCGTGCATAGTAAGTTGGCTATTACGCAACAACGCGACATTCGAGTAATGGTATACATGGATCCAGGTAGCATGTACCGTTATCATGGTCGAGGTAATGATTATCATTTCCGAGTGGTTTCGTTGTTAACCTCTCTGTCACACAATTGCGAGAAATTGGCTCGCGTTTCAACTGTCTTTGATTCTCTTTCGAACGTACCGAGTGTGTTATCGGTCCTATTGTGCCCAATGTGTACGTGTTAATAGAATAGACAATATCTTTGAGCCTTGTTCACCGGTCTTTTGAATATTCCGAGCATCAATAAGCCTGAAAATATATGTAACAAGGTCTTACAGAGACGAACGTTAGTGTAAACCGTCGGACAAAGTAGGTAGCGCGGCGGAGATTTCGATGCGCGCATAAGAAACGCGCGGAGACTTCGATGCCTGCATAAGAAACACACGGAGACTTCGATGCCTGCATAGAAAGTGTGCTTATGAATCTCTCAAAGCACATAGGCCTCCTTACGTTTGAATTAATGAATCGTTAACCGTGTAAATATCCCATTTAACCATTCAGAGGCCAAACAAATAAATAACAATCGACTTCTACTTAAATAAATCAAATTTCCTATGGAATTACCAGGTTCTCCAAATCTCCAAGTTAGAAATACGCGAAAAAATCAGCTGAAAATCCACGTACACACCAAGGTACAATAAAGAAGAACCAATAAAATAATCTCACACCCAAAAACACAATATCCTTCGATTTCAATCGAGTTTTCAGTCCCAGGATAAAACCCTCGCTGTTCTATCTCCTCTCTTACAACTTTCTCGCGTGGACCAGCTTGTCGATGTCCTGATACGTGGCCAGCATCGCTTGATTCTGCCTGAGTGTCTGATCCTCCTGAGCTACAGCACAATTAGCATACGCTGCTTCGCATTTCACGCCATCCTGGCCGTCTTTGGCTGCTTTCATGTACCGGAAGAACCTCAGAACGTCGGGGTTGTCGCTGCTGGGTCTTCTCAGTTCGTTCAACTCTCTGGACAACTGAGCAGAGACGAGGTTCGAGTACGGAGCGTATCTAGCCGGGCTTCGATACATAGCGCACACAGCGTACTCTCTGCAACCCTCTGTCGTGTGGCCCAGGCGAGAAAATACGGCGTCCAGGCGAGACAGTAACGGAGAATAGAAGGGATCGTAGTTGGTTAGCAGCAAAGAACTCGTTGGAATCTCGTGGAATACCTGTTGGAAAAATTCGTCAACTTTTTGTGAAGATGTGAAACGAGATTGAAAATTGTCTGAATTCGCTACCTTGAAGTCTTGCTTTTTAGAAAGTCCGTGGGCAGCTACGTGTCTGGTATAATAGCGATCGGAAATAGCATTAGCGTGAGTGATTCTAGGATCGACGAACGAATATCTCGAAGCAATTTCCGGGCTCTTCTGCGACTGCATCATACTTTCTTCGTACATCGCGGAAGCTGGTAACGTTCCTACTGGCTGTCTCGTGAGATAATCGTCGTTATACAAGTCGGAGTTGTCCTTGAACTCGAAATTCTCCTCCGGTTGAGCTGTGGTGTGCGACGATTGCGCAAACGAAGAAACACCTGTCGAGAGAAATGGTTATTGTCGATGTAGAAACGTCTCGATTATTTGGTTTACCGTGAATTACCATAAATTAAACACCTTCTGTGCGGAATATTGAAAACAAGCAGCGGTGTACGTGTTTACATAGTGAATTGTAGTAAGTAGAGTAAATGCATACCTTTACCAACGATATTACCGATACTTCCGATGATACTTGGCAGGAAAAGCGCCAGTAACACGCTCTTAATGATCTGCACGCCGAATATCAACGGCAACAGCAGCTTCTTCAGGCCAAACGCTAGAAAACCAAGCCCGAATCCTGTTAAAAAAAAAGCTGAAAGCAAAAGTACCAGCAAAATTAAAGCCCTGCGGTTAGTCCTGTAAGCCATGCCGCAGCCAGCATATCTCTCTCTCTCTCTCTCTATCACTTTCTCTCTCTCTTTCTCTCGCCTTCTCGGGTAACCTGGTAGACAGTAATTCTATCTGAAAAATCGCATGTTCAAAGTGAGCACAGTCGGAAAAGTTTCACCGATTAATGGTGATTACGGTGACCGTGAAACCGAACATTTATCGCATTTGCCAATCAGCGGTGACCCCCAGCTAACCTTTTCTCTCTCTCAGCACGTTTTTAGTAGAAAGCCAATCATGTAATGTGTGTGAAGCGTGTGTGAACGTTGGTACGACAAGGTGAGATTCGTTCAGTTGTTACGCGAACTTTCGCCGCGATGGCTGCGTGCAATGAAGCGAATTTCTTCTGGCCCTCGATCGTGGAAAAAACTCGCAAAATGACAAAACACGGAAACGAGAAATGTCGAAGAATTGGCGCGTCGAAGCAAGTTTCCAGCCTGGAGACAAGTCGAGCACAGTTGCTGTACATTTCGTCTCTTCTTTTGCCTCCGCGTTTTGCTCGTTGTTTTAGGAAAGTCGGGTGAAAAAACCTGGGCAAACTTGCCTTACTTTCTTGACCCGCCTCGTTTTAATCGTCTAGCTGAACCTAAGAGGAACGACGATTCGGTGATTGTGCAAAAAGCGGATCTGCGAGGATTAAACCAGACGCCTGTGATTGGACCGAAGACACCGTACAGGAGCATTTCAACCACGATCAAGACCCAGTTTTACCAGACTCGAGGAGCACGTTCCACGATGCGCATACAGCGGGCGAACACAGCGACAAGCAGATCAATTTTCGCGCGGGCGTACGATTTAACAGAGACGGATCCTCTGCGGCAATATGAACGGCAACAACAAAAACCCCATTCTTCAACACACCGTCTTCCCGCCTGCCGTTCAATCTCGCGAGATTACGAAAGCGTGACTCGAACACAATTCCGTATCGGAGGACTCACCGTTGAAGAAGGTTCTAGCTTTTCTACCGGCTACTAAGTCCTGGCTCAGACGTATCTTTACTACGTGCTCTCTGGCGTACCGGTGAATTCTATCGAGTAGGCTTGACTCCGTAGCAGGCCTCTGGTCGTTACCTTTTTCGTCCTTCCTTGCGACCACGTCCCTGTTACGAACGATCTGCACCGACTCTGTCACGTTATACTCGTCGATCCTCGACAGCCTGTTCAACAGATCGGAGAGATCCTTCTTCACGCATGACTTCGTCTCGTCCTCCTCGCAATTCACCGTCGAATCCATCGGAGAAGCCGTCGCGTTCTCCATCCGCGTCGCTTCTATCTGATACATCGACTTGTCGTCCGTCTGAATCATCTGATTCACGTTCAATTCGAGCTTCGTCGGTTTTCCAGGCGATCTATGGGGATGATCCTCCGGCAACTCGTCGCTGGTGAACGAAACCTCGTTCTCGACGGCCTCCCCGCGGATCGAAGGATGCGTAGATCGGTGACTGGTATCGTTCAAGGCCACCACGTGTTCCTTGACCCCGAGTACCGGCCGGAACCACGCGACCATCAGCATCAACACGATCGCGCCACCTTCTCTCCCGGTTCCACCCATCTTCCGCCTAACCTCAGCGTTCGATCAACCGCGCTCGCTCCACTCACGCTCGACTCTCTGTCGCGGCTAGCTACTTTTACTGCCGAAAGATAACTGCATCTCGGTCCGCGGCTCTCGTGCACTGTCCCCTGGAACAATAAAAGCAACACACGTTCGTGGTCGTGCAACGGATCTCGGAACTGCGAAGAGGGGAGGATTACATGTTGACCGTAGACAGGTTGAAATTGTTGGGTCTTGAAGAAGAAGAGATTTTACGTACCGTGAAGAGGTTCACTTTGACGACGAGGAAAGTTGATTAACGTAGGATTCACTGTGGTTTGACGGTTTGGTGGAAATTCGGTGAAACTTGGTTCACCGAAATGTCTGGACTCACTGTCACGACACGTAGATGACATCAACGATTAAGATTGATTCTTCGAGGATTGTTCAATTAATTTTCGGGGGAGGGAGTATTGTTTTGATAGAAATTTAGGGTTTTATGGGTGGTTGAACACTGATGGCGACGATTGTGAACTTGTGAATGGAAGGATCGAGACGTCGGAATCGTGCGCGACGGTTCACTCGATACTGGCGAGTCTCGGTTGGATCGGCCGTACTGATCCGATCTGGGTTACCCGGCCATCCGTCTGTCCGACCCTCTGTCCGTTCCTTTCCACCTTCCTTTCTTCCACGTTCGTTCATTCGTCGGTTCCGCTCCCGCCGATCGGCTGGCACGTCTCTTTCACTCTGCTGGACGGAACGGTCGTCGTCCTCTTCTATTCAAAACCGATCGAATTCGACGCGGGTCTAACGAAGAAACGATTTCACCGGTTGGAATTTCGGCTGATGACGTTCCTCTGGAACGTGTCTTCTATTCTGCTTTTTTTTCTTTTTCTTTGGCGTCCATTGTGTTCGCACGGACTATTTCGTCGTGTGTGGTGAATTTGAATTATGCTGTTGTTTGGGGATTTTTTTTCTTGGCTATGGAGGTGAAGTATTTAGTGTGAAAAATGGTAGATGCTGCGTTAGGTGTGGAAATTGATACTTCTTGAGTGGGTTCACGAGCCAACAAGTTTCTATCGCGACTGTGTTCGCAAGCTGACAGAGAAATGGCAAAAGGTCATGGACAGCGAAGGAAATTATTTCTGAATTTTTGAATAATGCAAATTATATATAAGTGATTTGTTTGAATTTTTTGAAATTAAACTTTGATTGTACATAAAAATCTGAAAGAATTCATTTCTATGCCTAAGATAAATTTAATTTTTGACATTTTTTAATTTATAGGTGAGATTGATATTAATCTTTGTTACCGATTTCACTCTTTTTGTTGCACTTTAAAAATGTGACACGAGTTTGATTCGTTGCTATAAGGTCAAGGGTTAAATAGGTTTATTAAACCTTGCATTGAAAGTATTATACAATAAAAATAAAGAATTACGTTGGTAGGATATTTTACTTTATGCAATATACATATGCAGTTTATTATGTTACATTATACACGTTTCTGTCTACAAGAAATATAAAGATTAAAAATTAGAATAAATGAAAAATGAAAATCGAGGTTCGCGAAAATTCATGATTTTGAAAAATTAAATTGAAAATTAGAATAAACGAAAAATAGAAGGTGATATTCGTGAAATTTCATAATTAATTGTACAAAAGTACCTTCCAGTTCCCTCTGCAAGGAACACCAGAACAGAAAATTGAGTGAAAAATGAGAATTAAGATTCGTTCATTTCCATAATACATTTCTCAGTGGCTAATTGTAGTACCTTACAATTTAATTACCCACTGAATGGTTCGTAAAGTACAAACGCGTAACTAGAAGCAGCTAATTGAATTGGAAGCAGCTAAATTAGAAAGGCGAAAGGTGATGCATCCAGCTTCGAGTTCACGATTACGTTCGCCATATCTAAGTGCGAGGTTCGTTAAAACACAGGGAGAAATCTAATCGTAATCGATTCCACGAGCGCGTGACACCTAATAAACTTGTCAAACTCGCGTGGAAAAAATTTCGACGCGTGGAAAAACACGCGTGTGTAGCAAGTGTCGTTGCACCATCGACATAAATATCGCCACGCATTTTCAGGATGGCCATACAAGTAGGCCGCTAATCCGGTTTCGGCTTTTTCTTCCTGTCGAAAAGATCGCGCCGATAAGGTGTGTAGCTTAATAAATTGCGAACATCTTCTCGTGTAACAATATGTAGCCCATTGAAAAATTCTGCAGTGACGAGTTCTTCACTGTCCAAATGAACTTTGTTCTTGTTTCACGCGGATAAGTCTCGACTTCCTAAATAACTCTGTCGAAACTTTGAAATTTATTTTTACTTGAAAAATTCGACAGTCGTGGATTCTTGACTATCTCAATGAAATTTTAATCTATGAACGTGAATTTTATTTTTACTTTTTTGAGAAAAATTTTGAATTGGGAAATAACTTTAACGAGAAAAAATTTGAAATTACTTTGTAATTGAAAAATTCGACAGTCGTGAATTCTTGACTATCTCAATGAAATTTTAATCTATGAACGTGAATTTTATTTTTACTTTTTTGAGAAAAATTTTGAATTGGGAAATAACTCTTTAACGAGAAAAAATTTGAAATTGATTTGTAATTGAAAAGTTCGGCAGTCGTGGATTCTTCATTATCTAAATTGAATTTTATTTTTATTTTACTGAGACAAATTTCGACTTTCTAGAAATTTCGAAATTGGGTACCTGGTGTTTTGACGAGCGCAAAAATTTGTAGAAACTTCAAGTTTTCTCTTATCTAACTTGTCTTTTCTATCAATACAATTACCACGATACACACTGAAAGCCACAGGAAACACTCTGTACATAAACCTATTTCCATCAAAGCTAACTTAACCATCTCAAGCGTGCAGTGCCCCTCGCGAACAGCAAAAAATGTCAACGTTAATGATGCTAACAAGGGGAAAAGGGTGCCTTGTGAAGTCCAAACAGACCGGTCACGAATCCAGCGTGCATCGTACGCGCTTTTACGAGCGATTTCACTGTGACCGCGTCCCGAATTTATACCGACGATTCGGTGATTCCTTGAAACACAACGATCCTGTTCACGTGTTTCACCTTAACCAAGCGACATGAATCCCAATTCGAAAAATTTCCTTCGATTCGACCGTCTGTTTCTCGCGAAACTATCGTGAATGCGTATCGTCGCCAAAAATTTCCAATTCAATCGTCCATTTCTTTTAACAAAGGATTAATCCACTTTGTCATGAAAAATTTCTTTCAATTCGATGGTCCATTTCTCGCGAAACACTCGTGAATCCATTTCGTCGCCAAAAATATCTAATTCAATCGTCCATTTCTCTTGATACAGTTGTGAATCCATTTTGTCACCAAAGATTACCAATTTGGTCATCTATTTCTCTTAAAATAGTAAATCCATTTCGTTGCTAAAAATTTCCAACTCTATCGTCTGTTCCTCGCAAAACACTCGCGAATCCATTTCGTCGCCAAAAATTTCCAATTCGATCCTCCATTTCCCTTGCAACAATCCTGAGTCCGTTTCCTCCCCAAATTGCTTCAATTCGGCAGTTTGCCTGTCGCAAAACAAGCACGAATCCATTTTGACGCCGGATACCAGAGCGTCAAAGGTCTCTGCTGGGTAATTACGCGAGACAGGCAAGAAACATATCCGAGAAACAAACGGGACATCGAACAGTCGTTGACGTTCACCTCGTGACAATGATTCATCGGTGATCGCTAGGTTTCCGTTCGATGCACGCCTCCATGATCGTTACGCAGTCTCTTCGGACAAAATACAACCACACCTAAACGACAAAAATGTGTTTTTTTGGAGGGAACAGGGTCACGATGGAACACAGTGTCCTCTTTCTTTTTCGAACAGTCTCGTAGTGGTCGTTCCTCGTGGTACCTGTTCCTCGAAAATACCGCTCGAAGCTACGAAACTGTAGGAAAGAACGTTCCTCCAGTTGGTTCGATTGGCATGATTTTTTTTATAGTTATACAGGTTCTCCTGTATCGTTGCTAAAGATAATGATCCTTGTAAAAATGAATTTCACGTTTATTGTAATTTTAATATTTAGTGTCAAAGGTCATATCATGGTCAAATTATTTTAACGTCGGCAAGAGAGGAAAATACACATTTATGTATTAAAAAAAAAGGATATTAGAGACCTTGAGAAGTGTAAAGATAATGAACTTGGGACGAAAATATTTTTCTGCTGTCGATTGATACCACTTAAATTGAATATCAAATATTTTTAACGTCAACAAAAGAAGAAATACACATTTATGTATTAAAAAAAAAATTGCAGACCTTGAAAAGTTCAAAAATAGTGACCTAGGAACAGAAATATTCTTCTGCAATCGATTGATACCATTTAAAATATTTTTTATGTCATCACAAGAGAAGAAATACAGTTTATATAGAAAAAGAGCATTTGAGACCTTTAAAACTCCCAAAATAATAACCTTGGAACGGAAATATTCTTTTGCAATCAATTGATACCATTTAAATTGGATATAAAATATTTTTTATGTCATCACAAGATAAGAACACATTTAGGTACCCATAGGAAGAGAAGAAATACACATTTATAAATAAAAAAAAAAATTACAGACCTTGAAATTTCCAAAAATAAGAATCTTGGAACAAAACTGTTCTTCTGCAATTGATTGATACCATTTAAATTGGATATAAAATATTTTTTATGTCATCACAAGATAAGAACACATTTAGTCAGCCATAGCAAAAGAAGAAATACACATTTGTACATAAAAAAAAAATTGCAGGCCTTGAAAACTGCAAAAATAGTAACCCTAAACCAAAAATATCCTTCCACAGTCGACACATACCATTTAAATTGCACCTAAAATACTTTTCATCTCATTACAAGAGAAGAAGATATTTAATTAGCCTCTTCCAAACTCTCCCTATATCGTAGCTTACAGAATCTGTCTATTACCGATACAACCGTGAGAGGCTATAAATAAGATTATCGAAATTTCTAAAGGTTCCTTTACATTCTTCTCTCGTGTGTCGTAGACTCTCTCCACTTTCTTGGAATCGTGAATTCATGTGGGTTACCGACCTCGCAGAATTCGTGGTGAATCGTCGATTAATGGTCGCTGACAAGTTGTTGATAACGAAGCAACGTAGAACTTGGATGAATAATTCAAAGATTCCTAAAAACGACCAAGGAGATAGCCAGACATCGGTTTACAAATGGACCGTGCAAAACGTGGCAAACGGAAATCGCGTTGTTGTTCCAAAGGAGAAGATTCCGTTCCACGCGTGATTCTACGTTACGGAACACGTCTATCTCGCGATCAGCCCACGGGGCGAAGGTAGACCGACTCGAAAAAGGAGAAGCTTCGGAAATGGGAGCAAAACGAAAAAGCCGACCGGTTTTAGAAAGTGCTCCACCACTCCTTCCAGTTTCGATGGGATCCCCCTTGGGGACTTTGCGTACACGCGTGTGTAAATCTTGTAGAATGACCTCTTCCGACTATACGGAGGTTTAACGGCCTCCTGCGGTGATTCGTTTTATCTGATTTTTTATTAAAACTTCGATAGCGCAGTTTAAGGAAATGTAACGTATAATGATGATTTTAATGTGAAGCAGTAAGTTATAAAAAGTAGCGAGTAAGTTTATCGGCTGGAAATATTTAGCACCCGTATCCGGGAAGCTTGCTTGTTTTTCATCGCTGACATACAGAACTTGAAAAGTAATACAAATTTCTGTGCTCCTTTTAATTGAGAAATTGTACGAAAGGAGGAGAGACGGTTTTTTGTTTTAAATTGAAGATGGGATTGTTGGAGAGCAAGAAAAGCTCGACCTGAACAACTTTCTCTGATGCGCAATCTATTCTATCTCTATCTAACCATTTCACAAAGGAACGTACCCAAATCACAGACGATTATATATGACGATTAAAAAAAATATATTTTTCACAAGGGAACTTCGGTAACGGAAAGATTCCAATTTTTTTGAAACTTTGTAGGTTTATAGGGGCTCTTTGTTGGTTCTTCGGGGTGAAAACAGCCCTTGAATAAAGATAAGTGTTACCTTACTTCCCTGCATACCTTTGAAACTCTAATAGATTTGAAAAAATGTTTATAATAAAAATTTAATGGCTTTCCATGCCTTCTAAGATGATGCTGTTAAATTAATAAAAACGCACTTATTTGTGCACACACGCATACTTCAGTAATCCATTCTTTATTTGAAAATACACAATTTAGACGAAGAAATTTTTTGTTACATTCCCTGGTTTCTGAGATACTTGAAAAATATGTTTTCAACCCCAAAATTTGACACTTTAACAGTCTAATAAAATTGCGGAATATGGTCAAGAAAATGTATATTTGTGTGATCGTTGTTAAAACAACTCGTCCCTCTTCAACTTTCTTCCTAAGAGTCTCTCTTGAGCTAAACAGTTAGGGATAAACTGTCGAATGGTTAAGGGTCGAAAATCTCTTCAATGTGGACGATTACGTTCGATCAGTTCTCTCGTGAGTTCAAAGGACCATTCCGGTGAGTTGGTTGAAAAATCATAAGCGAAATGGTAGCAGAAATCGAGCGTCGATCGAGGCGCTATTCGTCTGTTTCGCAATTGGTATGGCGTAGTATCGGTAGTACACGTGCCGTTATGTTAATACTCCGGTTCTAACGTAACGGTCGAGCGATGGCGAGACGAGTGCAGGGCTGCGTGTCCGCTGTGCCTCGCGCGACTGTTTCAGCCGATTGTCCGGATCATTGTGATTAATGGCGGCGGATGGTTAGCGGGTATCGCGTGGAACACGATGCTCGCCCGCGGAGCCGAGCAGAGCGCGGACAAGCGCGCCACATCCGCCTAGTCTGCGGCCCGATAACGGTCTGTCGATCGTGACTGCGTGCGTGCATACACGCGTCCACACCGGGGCGATCGTCCAAATCTGTCAGTAGGTCACCAGAGGCCGGCGCGCCTCTTTCGAGTTTCCAGCGGGCCGACCTTGACCATTGCCGCCGCGTTCACCTGCCCGAGTGACGCTCGGCGGACGATCAATCGGTTTGGTTTTCGGTCGGGGGTCGCACGGAGTTCGTGGACTTTGAACGGGCGAAGAATTTGGAAAAATTTGGGAGTTTGGAAGAGATGAAGGATTTTGAGAACTTTGGGAGTTTGGAAAATGTGAAAGATTTGGAAAAATCTGGGAGTTTAGGAAATGTGAAAGATACCAAATTTGAAATTTGAAAGAAGTGAGGGATTTGGAAAAATTTGGGAATTTAGAAAATTTGGGACTTTGGAAGAGATGAAGGATTTTGAAAAATATGGGACTTTGGAAAATGTGAAAGATTTGAAAAACTTTGGGAATTTGGAGAGGGTGAAAGATTTGGAAAACTATGGGAGGTTAGAAAATGTGAAGAATGTGAAAAAATTTGGAAATTTCAAAGGCATGAGGGTTTTGCAAAAGATTAAGACTTTGGAAAAGGTGAAGAATCTAGAAAAATCCGGAAATTTAGAAGAGGTGCAGGATTGTGAAAAATTTAAGGATGAAGGATTTGAAAAAATTTGACAATTTAGAAGACACGAATGACTTAAAAAAATTTAGGAGATTGAAAGGCGTAAAGAATTTGAAAATTTGGAAGATGGAGGCTTCAGAAAAATTGTTCCAAATTTTCACTAAAAATGGTAGCAAAGTCCCAAAGGGTAGTTTATATTTTTCTTCAATTCCAAAGGCAGGATGAACAAGTTCCTAGCTCCCAAAGCTTACATTCCTATGTGTGCAGGTATCAAGTAAATCGCAGGCAATTCATTTCATTATTTCAACGGATAAAATACAGGAAATTCGGAATACCTCAATAAACAGTAACCAATCACACACCGAGACCCACACTGAACATGTTATCAATGCATAGTAATCTAAACGAATTCAGACTTGTACAGCAAGTGTCGTTCCCTCCGTTCAACCGCTTACTGTTCACGAGTCAGAAGTCATCGTCACAGTGGACCACACTTCCTCGTAATTACTGTAATAACCACTGCGTGCAAATGTCTGTCTGAATGAGAAGACTTTGCCGTAATGAAGCACATTTTCCTGCACCAGTAATACCTCATACCGATCCTTATATTACGCAATACAAAAGAGATTGGATAATTACAACAATATTCCTTTTCTCTCCGCTTTATTTCTATCAAAATAAGTCTCTAACACTACGTATCAGTCAGGAACGATCGCTACTCTAGGTACGCGTTCTCCATGTTCTCCAACGTCCCCATGCTTGCATACTTCAGCCCTGCATAGCCATTATCATAATCCAGGAAGTGCACGGCGATGACATCACGCGAGCTACGGTCGTGCATTTATTGTACAGTCAATGGAATCAGCATAGTACAAACTCAAAATTCATCACGAATCAAAAATTCGGAGCTTTAGGAGAAATAAGGAGCTTTAGCCTCGTTTATGGCTGTTCCATGGCAACTCAGAATTTTTTTTCTAATTACAGTATATTTAAAACATTTCTCTGCGTCTTTATACCTAAGAGCTGCAGGATAATTTTTAGCTATACCGCAATTATTATTGTTAATAGAAATTTTAAATATCAATTTAAAAGTGATGCATGGCCTTAGGTAAAGCTACAGTAATCAGTGTCTCAACATAAAGCTTCAATTTAAGAGTTCACCACGTTGCTTCCATCAACTATACATAATTTACCCGCGAGTGACATTCGAAGCCTCGCGTGCCGCTTCAAATGAGTGAAAGAAGTGAATGTTTCGTGATTTCGATATCCTTTTTCCTTAATCTTCGTTATTTATTTAACGACGATTCTAGCCTGGCTCAACTTCCATGTTTCATCAGGATATTGATATACTTTTTGTATTATATATCATTCTATTTAAAAGCGTGTTTGTTCGCATTGGTCAATTTTGTCAAATTTCTAAATTCGGTTTATTTCGAGATTTGAAACGCTTTTCTAACGGCAGCCACGGCGCGTGAAAGTCATTTCAGCGAGGATTTTTCTCCACAACCGATAGTCATCGTTAACACGAAGCCTACTCGCGCCTGTCATCGCCCGATCAGGATGTTTAGGAACGAAGAAAGGGGATCGGTGAGCCGCGAAGCACGTGGAGAACGCGGTCGAAAGTTGCTAAGAGAGAAAATCAGACAGATCTACGCTGTCGTGCATCTTCATTCGACGAATGGAAGGAGTTGTTGAGTAATTTATCGTCGATTTTTCAGCCTCATCCGTAAGGGTTACGGAATCCATTGTAACCCAGATAAGCAATATTGCTTTGTATATCGTTCCTATGAGCCCAGGCATCCTCCTGACCGTATCCTACGAAAAATACAGAAAATACAAAATTAAATCTCCTCCCTCAATTCGAATCACGAAAACTTGGCCTTTAAACGACACAGTTTATGGAGCAAGCAATCGTCAGACTCGAGCGACGCTGAAATTATCCCTGCTCCATAGATCGTCGTATAATTATCAAAATTATCGTCATCTACTCCAGTCGTCGTATGTAAAATGGCTATTTGGTAACCAGAAATCATCGAGTGTGATGTAACTGTAATAGATTAGCGGTGACGAGAAATATTGTGTCATCGAGCACTCGTCACGGTCACTTCAACCCTCCTGGACCCACCCAAAGACCTCCATAATCCGGTATAATTTTCATCGTCCCGAAATAACGAAGCGTGACACGGAGAAAAACGTTAAATTGTCCTGGTTCCTTTACCTGTCGGATAGTCGATAGGCGCTTCGGCGGCTGTTGACCAAGTGTGATAGGGATAGGTTTGTTGAGGATGAGGCGGTCCAACCTTGCAGATCTTCAGATGCGACAATATCGACGGAGCAACAAGGGAACCAAGTACCAACAGTTTTTTGATGAAATGAACACCGAGGAAGATTGGGATAAGCAGTAACTTCAGCTTGAGAAGGTTCAGAAGGATCAGAATCGGAAGGATCAGGGATTTCTTCTTCTTGAAGATCCTCCAGTCACCTGTTGGAAACTCACAGATGTAGAAACTGGAAGATGTGACATTCCTGCGTGTTCAAGTGTTCACTTGTACCTTCAGACTCTTTTCTGCTCTGCATCTGAGAGAACTCGTCCTCGTCCATGATCATAGGCGAGCTACCGAAGCTTCTCGAGGACAGAGAGTTGTCGACGGTGTAAACCAAAGCTCTTTTCGTCAGAATATCCTCCACAGCGTCTCTGACGAAGTTTAAAATCTCGATCGCGCCGCTTTTGAACACTCGAGACTGAGGAAATTTGGGGAGGACAGTCTGTCGCGGCATGGATGGAATTCTCACTATGCGGAAGGCGCCGTAACTGAACTCCTGAGGTACAAGGATAAACTGTGACTCGGATATAAAACTAAGCAGAGAGATGATTCGTTAGAACTGTCATGTCTCGAAATTACTGTAATCTTTCAACGTTAGCGCTGCTAATTTTCTTTCGTTCAATCTGTCCCGTTTGATCTGACAAAATGGGGGCGAATTGAGGATATCTAGACCACGACAGCTCGGTCTCGATGTCGACAATGGTAATTAAAAAGTAAAAGCACAAGAAAGTGAATGACGGAGGATTGTGTGTCGATACTCTCGCCGTTGCACGAACGTGGATGATAATAATAGTCCCGAGAGGAAATCGTTAAGTCATCGAACTCTAGTTCTCCAAGAAAAATCTCGCGAAAAAAGATTATCTCCCAAATTTCTCAAATTCGCGTTACACTGTCCTTCGTACCTTCTCTCTCGCGACATCATGGAGCCACCTGACGACTCTGTACTTTCCACAGGTAGTAAAATCCTTGTACACGCTGCAATCCACTCGACATCGCTCGACGAACGTCGAATTTTCAAAAGTCGAAGCTAGTGTGCACCCGAAAAAAGAACAAGTAACCACCGATAGAATAAAACCAACTCTCACGAACCAACTAAACCTCGAACCACCCTGTTCGCACTTCATCGTTCAACAACGTTAGACAAAAAACAACGAGGTAAAACACTGTCACGATCGCTCTCCCTTTTCTCTCTTATCCTGCACGCGAATTCCTTCGACGGATTTCCATGGCGTGCGAAATTTCGTATGGGAAAACGTGGAAGGCAAGAGCCATGCAGGAGCACCACGCCTCAGCAAGCAAACTGTAAGACGAGATTAGGTCCACAAGCTCACTGACAGTGGTTAGAAGGTGTCTTGACCATTTATACGTGGTGCATTTAGGTCGGTGGGGGTACCGGTCCACGGCTTAGATAATCTTGCACAGAGACTGGAGCTTGATACCGTGCTCCGCAACTGAAATCACGCTGGAGAACACGAGTACTCTGAATGGAACCGGCTGCTTCGTCGATGATCCTTGAAACGCGGGGGGGAAACATGGAGGGAACCTAGAGCGCGATTCATTATTTTCAATGAAAACGGGATTCCGAGTTCTCGTACGTCTCGCCGTTAATATTAAACATTAACGGTGCAGGTTTTTAATTTGTTAATGGAGGGACAGTTTATTGGAGCTGTAAATTGCAAATGCGCGACCCATTTTCGCGGTGTAAGGCTGTCTATATGAAATTGAACGAACGAAGAGGTTCTCTGTTGCGTGAGATGATCGGTGATAACTGTTCCCTGGGTGAAACGTCAATTCGTATCGGCGGAGACTTGAGTGAGTTCGTCGTTCATGTATTGTGGAATATAATTGGTAGAGAAATATTCTGAGATTGTGGCTTATTTGAAATTCTGATTTGTTCGTTTGTTACGAATTAATTCGGTGCCATTTTTGGGGAATTTCAATGTTTGTTTACGAAAAATTAAGGACTTTTAATGTTTGAAATAATTTCTGTTACTTTGGATGAACTCTTTCTATTTATCGAGTAACTGACGAATCCTCTTTTTTGAACAAATTTTGCAATTTTATGATAAATCTATAAACTGGATTTTAGTAGATGGACAAATTAATTCGGTGCCTTTTTTCACGAACTTCAATGTTTATTTACGAAAAATTAAGCACAGTTTTAATGTTTACAATAATCTCCGTTATTTTGGACGAACTTTATCCATTTATCGGGTAAATGACGAATTTCCTTTTTGGAAAAATTATTGCATTTCTACAAGTCCATAAATTCATTAAGCCTTTGCGAAAAAAGTCACCCACTTAACTTGTGCGTTTATAAATTAACATCGCGGTTACGTGATAAGCCGAGCAAGTTTCAGAACCAGTTCAAGAACTGCAAAGGACAGTTTCAAATTGGAGCACCAAAATCGTCCAAGTGTTCCAATAAAAGAAAATTTCAATTCGAGGATTCAGAGGCTACAGGAGAACCGAAAGAATTTGAAGAAGCAGAAAAAGGGTGATAAAACTGTGGTCACCATAGTTTTGCCACCAGATCTGCAGTAGGAACAGGTTTTTCCAGAGGAGATCTGCTTTCTCGTTGTTTCTGAATCTTTACTTTTGGTTATCTAACTGAGCGTAATGAGTGACATAGTTTCCTTAACGATCGGTAACGTCCTCGAAAACTCGACTGATTTCACGACGACCTGTGCAACCGAGACCTGCGCTACGCGTTAAAAAACGACCGACAGATAAAACAAGTAGTAAAACCAGGAACCTTGTTATCGTAACGAAATATCTTCGAAATGGTTCTTTGCTCTCTGTAACTATGTACACTTACTCCTTTTACTTTTTACCTCGAAGAGGAGCTAGTAAACCATACTTCGAATCGTGCACAAACTGCGATACAATCTCGATTTACACGTTCACGTTACTTTCCTTGAACTTTGAAACAAGCATTCCTCAGGTTTGAAGTAATTAGCGACCTATTTATCGCATGTCTGACATAGATACATTTTGTTCCTCGTTTTTCGTTGATTGTTCGTATACGAGGGCAGGAAGTCACCGGTTTAGAACTGGAAATATTACTTGAACCAGCCCTCTAACGCGTGTAAGCACTCACTTACGTGCTACAGCTCTGTTCGCCGTCTTCTAATCGACACACTTTAATTTATTATCGACACAGAAATTATCGTGTTATTAACCCTTTCGTCGCCAAGATGGAACGAAGAATCTGTCAAGGATCGAGTGAAGAATATTCGTCCAAGTGGAGGAATAAAAATGTTTTTATTTGAGGATTCATTCGTGCTTGGGGTCTGTTGAAATTGTTTAAACAGGTGCTTGGTGAAAATTTTTTGGCGATTGGGAAAGGTTTGAGGAATTTTTTCATTTGCATCCATTTGTTTCAATTTTGGCAGCTTTGAGACTTTAGATGTAACTAAATTTTGGCTATAAGTTGCAGGATATTTGGGAAAAATTTAACGCCTCCTTTTATTACCATTTTGGCAGCTTTGAGACTTTAGATGTAACTACATTTTGGCTATAAGTTGCAGGATATTTGGGAAAAATTTAACGCCTCCTTTTATTACCATTTTGATAACTTTGAGACTTTAGATGTAACTAAATTTTGGCTATAAGTTGCAGGATATTTGGGAAAAATTTAAGGCCTCCTTTTATTACCATTTTGGTAACTTTGAGGCTTCAGGTGTAATTAAATTTTGAGCATAAACCGCAGAATGGAGATAAAATATTTCGACATTTGGAAAAAATTTACCACCTGTTTCCATATGCCTCCATTTTGGTAACACTGTAGAATGTAGAAAAAATATAGTTGAAACACAGATATTACAAAAATGAAAAATGGAGTTACATGAACACAGTGGTAACGAAAAGACTAATAGCGACATTTATACACCCGGCCGTCCATAATAAATCTTCCAATCGTTCTAAATCAATTACTCAAGAATGAAGTGATAGAAGAGACACCACAGAAGCTCGTGACATCCTCCCTAATTTTCACGCACGACAGACTGTCGACAGCTTTTTCTGAGGACACTACCATGTAACTCTGACGCTTTGGAATGAGCTATTCGATGCTCTTGTTAATTTATTTCCATGTTAGTATACCTGCGTCTTGACTTGTACAAAAAAACGAATATCTCCATAATTTCGCGATTTATTTTCATTAGAACATGTTTCTCTACTTCTTTTACATCAAATCTCTCTCCTGTTCCGCTATTTACAATCTTTGCTACACGGAGCGATAATTGCCTCGAAGGTTACGTGGTTCTCTGGAGGAAACCAGGTCCCGAATATCTTCCACGCGGAGTAAACTAAACGATTAGTAACTTTCGTTGATGTCGAGCTCGTGCTAATCGCCTTTCAAACGCAGAAAATGCACACGGTATATCGTAACACTTTTTCGACGGCGTTAAGAACTCGTACTTTCGATCACGTTACTTTGCTGTAGCTAAAAGGGTCAACTCTCCTGCCGAAATTTCTTAACACACATCCTATTTAGCGCGAAATTAATTAACACGGAAAATATCAACTTTCTTGTATCTTATTCGTACCATTAAATCGCGTGACATAAAAAAGGATCAACGCGTGAGCTAAAATTTCTTATCACATCCTGTTTATCACGAAAAAAAGGCTATTTTCTCGTATCCTGTTTATTGTACTATTAAATCTTGTGATATGCAATCTTACGTTTTTCTAGTGTAGGCAAAATTTAGGGTTTGGGGCGGCCCACGTGGTCGTCAGCCGCGCGGATCGGGACGGTGGCCAGGTTTATGGTGCCGATGTGACCGTGGGTAAGACGTGCCATAAATCTGGTCACCAGAAGTAAAGGACGGAAAGCGACGTTCCCGGGCGAAACGGTTTTTCCGCCAAAAATCGCGGTAGAAGGGGAACGTCGTAGGGGTACGTTCGAGAAGGAAAGGTTTAAAACGGATAGCTTGTGGAAAAATAGTGTGTGTGGGAAACGAACGTTGCGTGAGAAAAGTATATTGAAGGAGCGTTGTTGAAAATAGGACTCGTGTCCGTGTAGAATACATTATTAGTTATTTATTAGAATTAAAACTGTCTCGTCTCTCGCCTTTATCATCTGATTCCGCCAACCCTCTCTCCATCCCAGACTCCCTACACTAGCATAAAAAAGGAACAATATTTGTGACGAAATTTCTTATCACACCCTATGTATCGCGGAAAAAAATAAATTTTCTTGTATCCCATTTATACTATTATATTAAATCCTGTGATACGAAATGTTACGTTCTTCTAGCATAAAGAAGGGATCAGCACTTTTGCCAAAATTTCTTCTCATCTTATTTATCACGAAAAGAAAGTCAGTTTCCTCGTACCCCATTTGCTATACTATTATAAGTCCTGCGATATAAAATTCCACGTTTATCTTAATTGACTGCCCAACTCAATAAGAACCATA